GAAGGTTGAGACTCACTGATTTCATTCTGTCCAGTCATTGGATGCAGACATGTGGCCTGGAGCAATTTGGTGACTTGCCTAGAGTCACAAGGCACCAGCCACCCCAACTGGCCAATCAAGAGTATCCAGGCTGCATCCTCTTCTACTCCTTTTTTTTTTTTAAAGGAAAAAAGTGTGTGCTTGCCAGAGAGGCACAGTGAGAGTGAGAGGTGATAAAGCACTCCCAGGGGCACAGCCACACCTCAATTCCTTTTCTTCCATACTCCGCTCAGGATTTGGGGCATGTAAACACACGCCTGGCCTGTCTCTCAAGCCACTGGGTCTGAGAGTCAAACCACACTACCAGCCATGTGGGCTGGCCCTCCACAGCTGTGTCTGATCTCTGCTCTTTCACTGAAAGCCAATTTGGAGTTAGCTAGGCTCAGAGTAGGTCAACCTGGATCCTGCAGGACTCACTGCACTGCTGCAGCCTCAGACCCAGCAGCTAGTAAAACACACCAGGCATGTGTGCGTGCACACCCAACACCCAGGGAGGAGAATGGAGGAGGAACGATTGTGCAGTGGCCACCCTCTGGGGGTGCTTTCTCACTTATTCTCTCTTTGTCTCTCTCTGGTGAGTATATGCAGCCTAGAGCAAAGAAAGAGAAAAAGAAAAGAATGAATTAGTTTCATTCCCCAAACTTCAGTCTGAAATTTTTATTTTTTTAAGGGAGATTTTTGCTATAGGGCATGTGTGCTTGACAGAGAGACAGAGAGACAGAAAGTGAGAAATCACCCCCCGAGGGGGAAGGGCCATACTGCAATCCCTCCTCCTTCATTCTCCTCTCGGGATTTTGGGCATGCATGCACATGTGCCTGGCATGTTTCAAGCTGCTAGATCTGGGACTTGAACCACATTTGACTATGTGAGAGTCCAGCAATGTAACCATTACACCATCTGCTGGTTCCCAGTCTGAATGTTTTAAATAACTTATTGTAATGTCTTATTTACATGTAATAGTGTTTTTTTAGATGATTTTTAAATTTATTTATTTGCATTCATTCACTGTATATCATTACAGCATACAAAATGAGATCTTCCATCTAGAATACACTGTATATTGGCTCCATCAAGCACATCAATATATGTGTTATCATCAACAAATAATTTTCCATTTCTTGTTTCATATATATATATTTAGTTCATAATATAT